TCGTGGGGGACAGACAGGCACTGTCTCATATCTCTGTTTCGAAGCCTGGTTCTGTCACGCATAGACTATGGATGCATAGTATATCAGTCAGCTTCAAGGACAGCACTGAAAATGTTGGACCCTGTATACCACCTAGGTATCCGTCTGGCACTTGGTGCCTTCCGTACCAGCCCTATTCAAAGCCTTTATGCAGAGTCAGATCAGTGGCCACTAGACTATCAGCGCACGTATCTAGGAGTCAACTATGCAGTTAAGATCATGTCTCTGAAGCAGCACCCATGTAAAACATTTATGAACGATGTGTCTGCTACCCAGTTATACCTAAACCGTCCTTCTATCGCCCCACCGTTTCCATTGGCAATAAGACCTGCAGTAGAAAAACTTGCAATTTTCTTCAATGACTTGGCGGAAAGTGACCATGTCGAACACATCCCTCCCGGGCAGCAATGTCCAGTCACTTGTGACTGGTCTTTCAAAGACATCATAAAGGAAAATTGTCCAAGCGCACTTATTGAGCAACATTTCTTGGCCCTTGAACACAAATATCGTTCAACCGCGTTCTTCTCTGATGGCTCAAAATCTCAAACATCTGTATCTTGTGCAGCCTATGGACAAAAGTTCTCGGACACCAGAACCATGCATACACATACCAGCATTTTCACAGCGGAAGCCTATGGTATCCTGCTTATTATACAACACATTAAACAACACAAGATACAAAAGTCTATAGTGTACACAGATTCTTTAAGTGTTGTCAGGGCCCTGTCTTGTGGCAAGTACAGCAAGAACCCTACTTTCAACAAGCTCCTTAACGAAATTTATGCAGCCTACAGCTTAAAACTTTCTATTGTTATTTGCTGGGTTCCAGGTCATTCTGGAATTGCGGGCAATGAAATAGTGGACAAGAATGCACGAGAAGCCGCTGGTCGGCAAACCATAGATATAACCTCTGTTCCGGGTGTAGATCTAAAACCTGTTGTACGTAGAGGTCTACGCAACCACTGGCAAGCTGAATGGGACAGAGAAGTCGACAACAAACTCCACCTTGTAAAACCCCAGCTGAGAAAAGTTATCCCCCCAAAACTCAACAGGTTCGCCGAAGTCACTCTAACACGGCTCAAAATAGGCCACACTTATGCCACACATAAACACCTTTTGACAGGCACTGATCCACCTACATGTATACGCTGTGGAGAGAGTCTAACCGTTGTGCATGTCCTCATACAATGTCCTGTGCTTCACCAAGCACGACTGACCCATTTCAGGGAGCTCTATCGATATCATATCCCACTTCATCCAGCGCTGTTTTTATCACTTGATGCAGTGGTTGACCTTAAGAGACTTCTTCATTATCTTGGGAAAGTGAAATTTTTAACAATGATATCATTCCATCCTAGGCACCAGGCTGCGCCTCAAGTGTGAGGTACCCCCTGGTGCATAAAAAGTATGTCTGAGCCTTCGCAGTTCTTGCTCAGGCAAGGACTTCAGCTGCGAGGGTCTTGGGCCTTGCAGACTAATTTATCAGCACAGACTTCAGCCAACAAAATGAAGGTTTTAGCAAAGCAACATTCCTTTTTTTAAACAAAGTGACATTCTTTTTAAATGTACTGCGTTTTAAATGGTTCGTAGATATTTGTTTTAATTTTAGTCATGTTTTAATCATTTGTTTTAATTTTTAAACTAATAACCGAAATGAAACAACACTTGCACTGGTGCTCTTTGGCCTTAGATGCCCTTGCGCCAATAAAACTTAACGTAATAATAATAAATGCGTGCATCAGGTGTGCATGATGCAGGATGCTTACTTCGTACCTGTCGCGTTAAGCTGTCACTCTTTCACACTTGAAAGATTATTGGTGTGCTCTCACTACCCGCGTACTTGCAAAATATTCAGAGCATCTAGAAGTATCGATAGCTCCACTGCTCGTCACCGTGGAAATTATGGTGAGTGGCAGGACGGCATACTCATTTGTTTTGGCTTCGGGCCACGTCAATTTTCAGCTACTGAGTCTCATGAAATGCTTTGCTTGAAATTGTCGCATCACCATCATCAATCATCATTATAGTTTTTACCTCACCACCCGCACAGCTCAGGCTAAGAGCTTGAGGTGCGGGTTAGAAAGAGAATGTGCTACGATTTCTGCCAGAAAAGACGCCACAGCCCCGTTTAGCCTTTCACTTCAATTTGTAATGTGGCGACGACGGCGGCACTGTCCTATCTCTCATTCACTACACCTGGCGTTGTTTATGTTGCTTTTCGAAACGAAAACTGACATGCGCATTCGTCGCTACAGGATTTGCAAAGCTTCATTTTTTATCATGTATAATTCTGCTACCTTACCAAGCATTTGTCCAAAAAGCAGGAGTTGGGCATGACGTCACAGTGACACAAATGATCTGCATCATTTTTTCCTAACATGCAGATTGTTTACCAAACTAAGAAAAAGACTTCTGGATGAACAACTTCGAAGAATGGGATTCAATTTATCACTTGTGATGGTGCATACAGAGCTGCTGGGCAGCTAGCTGGTTGTGTTTACGGTAATATGCTACATAACTAAGTTCGCCCTTTAATTGGTGGTCCTATCAACCCAACAAAGCACTAATTAAAAAAAGCTGCAAAGGGTAAACGTGGAGTTAATAGTTTTTAAAGGTTCATTAAAACGTTAAAGCTGAATTGAAATATCTGGCATACATTTCTTTTCTCACCAGCTCTATGGCAGCAGGAACATTTCGCAAGATCGTTGCACCTGCAGAGGTGGTGTCTCAGGCGGATTCAAGCATGTAGTGGCAGAACAGGACAAGGCAGAGAGAGCAGGTCCACTTACATCACTGCCTAATAAAGCAGGGACATGCCGAAGAACTGTAAACCGTCATTCCCGCAGGACACGACGTGTACCTGTTCGTACAATCGACTACGCAGCAGTTCATGAATTAGATACACTATGTGCTAGCAGCCGTTGAGATAGCGCATGCCAGCCAACTCTTCCGATTTTCCCTTAAAATGTACAAATTTCAACCGCGCTTAAGATTTTACTAATCTTGTCTGAAATTTTACGGAAAATATTTGATTTCCCATAAAAAAAATAAAAGTAGTAAAATAGCGTGACCTCCACGATTGGCTATAGCGCATCGCCGTAGCTAGTCACAGAGGCGAGAAAAACGGCGTTATGCTATATTCCCCCACCAGGAGAGAACAGTATGTATTGATGTTATCATCACATACCTGCCAAGCTTTCCACATTGTCCGGGAGACTCCCGAATTTCGACTGTTTCTTTCTTTTGTACGGTTTCCATGAAAATCTCCCGGAAATTGAAATTTGTGTGCAAGATTTGGCCTCATTGACAAAAATGCAGGTCAGTTCATTCCAGGCTTTTTGCGACACCACGGCATTTTAATGTAAATGAATTTGAGAGGCGTTCATCTAAACGTATAGTCTCAGTGATGTGAAACAGCTGCAGATACGAATTCATGAAATTTTCCAGCCAAATTCATCGGTCAGTTGGGCCGAAATTCGAATGTTCCGAACACTTTTCTTAATCACGATGTAGGATGTGAACTTTAGTATTGAAACTGTTGAACGAAGGCTGATTAAGAGAAGCATGCTCGAAGCTTTGAAAGTACAGGTGCGACCAGCGCACGTACTGTCTTCTACAGTGCATGTGTTTTTCGTTGCCACAACCTCTGTGATCTAAACCAGGGTCATTGGACACGATCATGTGTGCCACCGATGTTACTGACAGAACTCTGAAAGTGTGCGCGCGTCCAACGGTCAACCAGTCATAGCATCGCTGCTTTCCGCAAACTCTTTGGACAAAACCGCGGCAGTTGCAGTCATAGATAGCACAAAATGACTTAGTATTGAAGGCACATAAATTGAAAACAAAACTACCGTTTGCTGCAGCCGTCGCACACAATACTGCGGTCCCGGCGATGCGATAGTGATCTACGAACTCTGAGGGCACGTGGTTGACGCAGCGGTAGAGTAAAGGCAGTAAAAAGGTAAAAAACAACTGGAAGCGCTTTCGCATGCCTGTCTTAAGAATGCTTGTGCATGCGCGCTTATCGTTCAGTGGGGAAATCGTGTGCCTTCCGCTTTCACTGGAACGATTGCGTTAGTTGTTGGGCCCACAAAAGTCATTTCGCTCGCAGTTTAGGAAAAGAGCGCGCTTTTCATACACAGTGAAGTATGATAATGATTGGTTAGTTTGCACTCATCTGTGCTTGTGATTACGTTTTGTGCGTCGTTTTTGTTTAAACAGCACGTTAAGTGTCGAACAGTTAATGTTGTTAGTTTGCTCTCATCCTATGTATGTTGTTTTTGTGCGTCATTACATTTTAAGTTGTTGCTATCGCATTCATTGCTTCACCCTTGCAGCGAAACTGTGACTTTCTTTGCTAGTTGTTTTGATGACGCGAAATTCGAGAAGCATTTTCGCTTCCCCCTTTGAGACTCTCACCTTAGCAGGAAACCCTACCCTCATGTTTTCGGCTGCTCCAAACCATTATGATACTGCACTGCCGATGCTTGCGCTTGCGTTTGGGTCCCCCCCTCTTGCTTATTGAGATGTTTTTTTTTTTGTTCTTTTGGTGCAAAAAAATGGGGTAAATAATTCAGTGTGTTGATTTGACATATGGTGGCAAAACATGATTATGCTTGTCGCTAAAGGCAAATTCATCGTAACTACAAATTGAAAAAAAGTCAGCAGCCCCCTTTACACCGCTCGGGGGTATTACGAGTTTCTCTATTGCCAGTTTGGCAGGTATGGGAGAGCGTGTAATTCTGCTCAGGTTATCAATGACTGTCTGCTTTGGTAGCTGCACAGGGGTATGCCAGTCGCTGTGCACATAGTGTGTAAGCTCGATGCGTATTAATTAGTAGGATAGAAGAGGATGGTCACGTTTGAATGACACAACTCAGGGTTGCAGTTCTAATGAGAGTGCATATGGCTAGCTGAGCACAAGTGCCTGCCATGATAGTTGGTCACCACTGTTGCAGATACATTCCTGTGGGCCTCCTTGAAGTTCTCCCGCAGAAGATCAATGAGAGGCCACCGCCATACCGTGGCCGTGATGATCTGGAGACTCTCTTCGCCAGCCCATCATGTGCAGATTGGCTGAAAATCAGGTGAGTTGCTCGTGCAACTGCTGGCTTTGTGTTCATGCAGGGTGCTTTTACATTCCTATATAAACCCTTGAAATTGAAAAGTATGTTTTCTAGGCAACCTTCAAATTATCATTTTTTTCGTAAGCCCTTGAATATCAAGTTCCGGTAGTATAATATAAATGTACAATATACACTTCACGCGTCATCACGTAAGTACTCCTGTATTGTGGAAGAAAACAAGTCATGGTTTGAAATGGAAACGATGTCCGAGGGAAGGTGGTTTCAGTCGTTGGATGTGCGTGGGACGAAGGAATGATGAAAAGTGTTAGTGCGGCAGCTAATGACGTGTACCTTATGTTGATGATCTAAACGAGCTGAGTAATAGGCAGGAGTGGTAATGAACTGAGCTTTCAAAAGTGGATGATTGAATATCTTGTGAAAAAGTATGAGACGAGATGCTTTGCGACGTGATTCAAGTGACTGTAGTGAAAGGCTGTGTTTCATTGACGTAACACTGCTAGTGCGATGGTAGTTAGATAGAATGAAGCGTGCTGCGTTATTCTGTACCATTTGAAGCGAGTGAGTCAAGTTCAGTTGAAAAGGATCCCAAATGGAGCATGCATATTCAAGTTTTGGACGAACTAGTGTTTTATACATGGTTAGTTTCACGGTCGGTAGTTCGTGAGATACGTAAAACTTTACATTTGTTAGTGTTGAGGTCCATGTGCCAAGTTCTACACCAGCTGGCAATATTATTAATGTCACTTTGCAAAGAACTAGTGCCAGAGTTAGATGAAATTTCTCGGTAAACAACGCAGTCATCGGCGAAAAGGTGAATCGAAGAAGTTACAACATCGGGTAAATCATTAATATAAATAAGGAATAGTAAAGGGCCCAACACAGAACCCTGGGGCACACCAGAAGTAACGGGAGAAGAGGGCGAGCTGTGGTTGTTAGCAACAACGAATTGTGAGCGATTAATTAAGAAAAACTCGATCCAAGCAAGAATGCTGCCATCACTATCACGGTTGAAGATTATGATATAGCTTCATGTAAATTATTATGAGGGAACTGAGACATGGATAGTATGTTGCTCTGTTTGTGTTGCATAAAAGCACATTAAAGCAAATTTGTCATTATGGAAGGTAAGTGAGGCTCTTGCTTTATGTTTTGATAGACACACCTGCCTCATTTGTCTTCTACGACATCTGTTTGACTTCTGGGTGATTCCACGAGAGATCAACACGGGCTTGAAAGTTGGCTTGTTAGATTTGATTGTTTATTTTATATTTCGTGCACATACCACCCAGTAGCCCGAAAGTAAACTTCGTTCTTTTACTAACTGCATAATATAGGAAGAAAAATATCGCACTTCATTTTTACGAAGGGACCAATTTTGTTCCTTGTCATTCTTGAAAGTTAACAACAGTATAAAAGCACGAGTATTAACGTTACGAAACTTATTTTTTGAAAATAAATGTACGCGTAATGAACAGTGAAGCAGCATTGTTTGCAGTCTGTGTGCAGAAGCAAATTGTTCATAAAAATGTCCGAACAGGTGATATTTTCAAAAGGCTGCTATATTTGAATTTTTTTTTCCTCCTAAGCTAAACCAGCGAGTGTTTCATTACTTGGTTACCTATTACAATGTGGTGTTTACAGGATTTCCAGTCAATACTGTAGCTGTACCTTAAACACATATTTTTATCATCATCATCATCATCAGCCTGACTACGTCCACTGCAGGACAAAGGCCTCTCCCATGTTCTGCCAGTTAACTCGGTCCTGTGCTTGCTGCTGCCAATTTATACCCGCAAACTTCTTAATCTCATCTGCCCACCTAACCTTCTGTGTCCTCCTAACCTGCTTGCCTTCTCTGGAAATCCAGTTAGTTACCCTTAATGACCAGCGGTTATTCTGGCTACGCGCTACATGCCCTGCCCATGTCCCTTTCTTCTCCTTGATTTCAACTATGATATCTTTAACCCCCGTTTGTTCCCTGATCTACTCTGCTCTCTTCTTGTCTCTTTAGGTTACACCTGCCATTTTTCTTTCCATCGCTCGCTGCGTCGTCCTCAATTCAAGCTGAACCCTCTTTGTAAGTCTCCAGGTCTCTGCTCCATAGCTAAGTACCGGCAAGATACAGCTGTTATATACCTTCCTCTTGAGGGATAGTGGCAATCTACCTGTCATAATTTGAGAGTGCTTGCCAAATGTGCTCCACCCCATTCTTATTCTTCTAGTTACTTCAATCTCGTGGTTCGGCTCTGCGGTTATTACCTGCCCTAAGTAGACATAGTCTTTTATAACTTGAAGTGCACTATTACCTATCTCGAAGCGCTGCTCCCTTCCGAGGTTGCTGTACATTACTTTCGTTTTCTGCAGATTAATTTTAAGACCCACCTTTCTGTTCTCCTTGTCTAACTCCGTAATCATGAGTTGCAATTTGTCCCCTGAGTTACTCAGCAATGCAATGTCATCGGCGAAGCGCAGGTTACTAAGGTACTCTCCATTAACTCTTATCATCCCTAACTGCTCCCATTCTAGGCTTCTGAAAACGTTCTGTAAGCACGCGGTAAATAGCATTGGGGAGATTGTGTCTTCCTGCCTTACACCATTCTTGATTGGTATTCTGTTGCTTTCCTTATGAAGCACTATGGTAGCAGTTGATCCCCTGTAGATTTCTTCCAGGATGTTTATATATACTTCATCGATGCCCTGATTTCGCAGGTGTCTGCATGACGGCTGATATTTCTACTAGGTATTGGCGGCGATGGTATAGTGGTTAGAGCATCCACCTCACATATTTTTATAAACGGCCTCAAACTTTCAATTTTGTTGACAGTAAACTATTGAAAAATCAATATTTAAAATTACCTCGTCTTCGCTTTTTCTTAAAATCCCACAAAAAGACCCTTGATGGTTACAGAAAAACAATATCAAAAAACATGTTTCATTATTTTATGTGCAGTGACAATATTACAGGTAGAAGTTCCAGCTTTTCAAGGATGCACTTGGGCGATAAACACATGAAAAATTGAACTAAAAAAAAAAGTGGGCATGAGCTTCTGAGTCATTTCAATGGGATCGTACTTACAGAGAAAAAGCATATTTGGTAAACTGGAATGATCGTTTTAAGCACGTCCTTTTAAAATACCTGAATTCGCCCTTTAAAGCCGATGCTTGAGACTTAACTTATTGGCACCTCAATTACCGACGCTCTTGCATGAGGCAGCTATTACAGTCATCTGTTTCTAACGTTTTTCGTTCGGTGCACAAATGGGAATAGGCTCGCAATAAGAACAACGGAAGCCTAACGAGTATTGAAATTTAGTAACGCTGCTGCCGCATCCTTAACCAGAACACGGTTTAGCATTTTAATGTCGTTTGCTCTACAATTTACTGTGCACGGTTTGACATCGTTTGCTTTACAATTTAATGTGTGCCCCCTCTTGGAGACAATATGTCATAGGGTTTCAACTATAGAAAATGGTAAGAAACCTGTAATTTTAACGAAACATAGTTTAGTAAAGCCAAACAAAGCACGAAACCTCACTCTGCCACTTAAGAGCGGCAAGCACGGAAGTGATTAAGCTGGCGTCTTAAATGGTGGCGAAGATGGCCATATGACAGAAGAATGTCATAATGCTCTATGCAAATGCAGGTTACCTAGAAACCATTCGTTATCTTAAAATTGTTTTAGTGCATATTGCTGCCACGTGTCGCAGGCCTATGTTTCGGTGCGTTTGGTTAATCTTACCTAACGATACAAATCATGGTCGTGTTTTGTTAGCGAAAAGAACTGCTGTAACTCATCTGGAAAAAATGCAGCATTTTGATTGCACCATGGCTTCTGTCCAACGCATTCCTCAACATAAGAGGGATTAGTGGAGGAGGTCAGTCTCCAAGTGTTCATGTTCTTTCGTCCATGGTCCTAGGCTAGTGTTGGAGCACTTTAATTCACCACATTGTCTGCAGATATGCGAGGATTGCCTCAGGGTTTGTCACTTTGTATTGGATGAAGCTCAGCAAAGTGCACCAGAAATGTGTTTTTGTAGAAATTTATTCCTCACAGTGCTAAATCTTCTTCTCTTCTGTAAGTATGGTCCTGTTCAATTGACTCAGAAGCTCAGGCCCACTTTATTTAACCCAATTTCGTGTGTGTTTATCGCCTTAGTGCATCCTCGAAAAGTTGGAACTTCTACTCATAATGTTGCCGCTGGCAAATAAAATATAGCAACATGTTTTTTAAAATTCTTTTTCCATGATGCGCAGGGGTCTTTTTGGGGGAATTCAAGAAAAATCGAAGATAGGGTTTTTTAATTGATGATGTTTCAATAGGGTTCACTGCCGACAAAATTGGAAGTTTGAGGCCATTTATAAAAATATGTTTGAGGTACAGCTAGGGTATTGACGAGCCATATTGTAAACATTACATTGTAATAGGTCACCAAGTTATGAAACACTAGCTGGTTCAGCTTAGGGGGAAAGAAACCTGATATATTGCAACTTTTCAAAAATGTTACCTGTTCAGACACTTTTCAAAAACAGTTTGCTTCAGGCCACAGGCTTGAAATAATGCGGCTTCCCTTTTCATTATGCGTACATTTATTTAGCTCACCTGTGACTATTTGATTGACTTAACTATTTCTTTAGACCTGACGCAAACTGTTTCTTCTGCAACCCGCGAAAATGCAATTCTTGATCTTGTTTTTATTAATGAACATATTAAAAAATATGGCTATCATTGTGAGATTGTCAAAGGCCTGTCGGATCACAAGGGTGTTGTAGTTGATTTTAACTTAACGACTGTACCTAACTTTCCTTTACACCAGACTGTTGTGAACTACGAGCATGCTGATGATAACTCCATAATCGGGATACTTGCATCCTCTTTTGATGAGTTTTTGAACAGTGCCAGCCATTACCATGTCGATGTACTAGTGAACCACCTTAATGGAATTGTTGGCCGATGTATTGCTAATTACATTCCAACAAAGTGTATAAAACGCAATCCCAAG